AAAAAAAAAAAAAAAAAAAAAAAAAAAAGGAAGAAAGAAAAAATGTTTCTCATGTGCAAAGCTTTTGGAGGTAGGCTTTCCAGGACTGATACGGCAGCTTCTTGCTATCATCTGAAACCTGGAATTTATCTTTCTACTCTACCATTCTTGGTATGGCTTCCATCAAGGTCACTACATACTCCAAAATGGCTGCTTTAATTCCAGCCATTACACCCTCTTTCCAGGCAGAAGAGAAGCATATAACACCTCTTCTCCCCTAATATCCCAGATATCCATCACAACATCCCACATTATCTCTCTTTGGTTATACATAGTCATATGGACACATCTAGTTGCAAAGATTCTGAGAAAATTTTTTTGTTTTGGTTTGATTTGTTTTTTGAGAGAGGGCCTTGCTATGTAGTCCAAACTGGTCTTGAACTCACAATGATCCTCCTACCTCTGCCTTCTCCCTGCACTACCACACTTGGCTAAAAATGAAGTCTTTTATTCCACGAACCTAAATATGCCTGGTTAAAAACACAGTTATATTCTTATTAGCCCAAACTTCCTTTCCTTGACCTCTGGAAGAATAAGGAAAAAACTAGGGTTTGGAGCCAGACGTATTTGAACTTGAATCTTTCCTCCTGCCAAATGAATTGAACTGTCTAAGCATCTGTTTTCACAGCTATAGAGTGAGGATAGTCACAGTTATCCCAGCCAGAATGGGAGGCTGAGGCAAGAGGATCACAAGTTCAGTCTGGGCAATTTGGCAACTTCCCAAGATTCTGCCTTGAAATAAAAAGTGTTTAAAAGGGCCGGGAATGTAGCTCAATGCAAAGGTCCTGGATCCCTTTACCCAGTACAAAAAAAAAAAAAAAGACCTGCTTGGTGGCAGAAATAGAAAACCTGACCAAATCCTAGGATAGGAGGTTTCTTTGTCTCACAGGAAGTCACAACAGAAGGAGTGGCTCGTGTCGGTTCGCTAACTTGATGTCATGGCTGGTATCTCCAGTGTTCTTGGCCCTTCATGTCTGTGGACTTGTTAAACACATCGCTCTGTGGACATCATGGAGTGGACCTCTCAGGGGGATGTGCTAGGAGTGTTACTGTGTGCTGGAATGTTTCAGGCTTCATGTTTCACAACTAACGCCAGCTACTTACTGGGCATCATTTATTGAGCATTTCTTTCTTTCTTTCGGTACCAGGGATCGAACTCAGGACCTTGCGCTTGTGAGGCAGGTGGCACAACCGTGAGCTAAATCCCTGGCCTGGGCATTTATTGTTTAATAAGCACTTTCTGAATGCTTAGGCACATAAATGACTTCCCTCTCCTCACAATTCCATGTGATGTTGGGGTTGTTATCCTTTATTCTTTCTCTCTCTTTTATTCCTGGTGCTGGGGGATGAACCCAGGCCTTGCACATGCTCTGCCACTGAGCTACACACTCAGTTTTAGGATTCCCTTTTTTGTTG